TGTCTCTGATAGTCTCACTGACGCCTGGTTTCCTGGGACCAGTGGTGCGGATCAGCTGGAAGAGCTTGCCAAAATTGCCTACTGCTCCTGCCTCCTCCATTTCTTGAGCCCGATTGGTCCACCAGGATTTCTTGTCAGCACGTAAGCTCCGCTTTAGTTCGTGCCTAATAGCCCGTCTGGTCACATTGTGCTCAGAGCCAGCCGGGAGGTTTCTTCTAGATTGCAACAGGTTCACCGACCTCTCGGATATCCAGTGATTGGTACGGTGACCATTGATAGTGCCACAAGCAGATGCTCCTGCGTCGTGCATGGCGGCCGAGATTCTATTCCATTGAAGTTCAGCGTCATTAGAACAAGATAGCGAAAGTTCGGTACGTAGTGCGTTTTGATAGGCTTGCCTGACCGAGGACTGGGACAATTGCTTAGTTACCCATCGTCGGAGACGCTTGGTGCGCATCGCGGTAAAGTTCATGGAGAAACGACAGCGTACAAACGCATGAGCAGAATTCACGCGGGTAACAGTACGAGCTGCAATCAAGGATGGAACCACGCCATCTGTAACTTATGACAATGTGATCAATTTGCATCCATTGCTGGCTAACTACAGGAGGAGGCAAAGTAGCACTTCGGCACCCACTGTGCCTAAAAGCATTGCTACTAAGAAACAACTGGTGCTCCGCACACAGTTACAACAGACGCTCGCCGTTGTCAGTCCGTTCGGAGTTAAGCCCATAATTACCACCCAGCTGAGCTTCTGAGGAGCTCAGGCGCCCTACTTGTGCTCTCATATCCCCTGCAAGTACCATAATATCTGAACTAGTAGCATTGCGCAGTAGCGCATCCAGTTCATGGTAGAATGTGTCCTTGACAGCATTAGAACTGCAGTCGGTGGGAGCATAAGCGGAAATCACGAACAAACAGCGTTTTGTACTACTTCGTGATTCCACCTTAGCTGATGTCGTCAAACGGGCTGCACATAAACGACTGTTCACCGGAATTCAATCAATCAACAATGGCTCAGCGTTGGAGCTCAGAACGATACCTACACCAGCTTGACCCGTGAGTGCTGCATCGGCGTCTCCGGATGCGTGAAACCAATAACCAGAGGATAAGCCGGGCTCAGTTAATTCAACAACCCTATTAGGGTCATTGATCCTACTTCCGGACACAACATACGTCAATACCCAGTGTGCGTGCGAGTGCAGCCTGTTGACTTATTTGTCTTATAGCATGGTCGTTGGACGCCGCCAGGGAAACGGAACAGCGTGGCGTCATAAAGAACGGTTGACAATAGGCGTCTGGTAGGTGTTGCGTGAAGTTGGCTGCAGATGGTTGTACTCCAGAGGCACTTCGGTTGCCGTTAATTATATTGGGAATTACAGAAGGAAGGTTAGTAATGAGGTTCGGGAAGGGAGTAAGAGAAACAGTTGGAAAAGAAGGGAGACGCCAGCAGTAGCATGTTTTCGCTTATCCGCCCTTATGTATGCAGCAGATAAGGCGACTCTTGATAATCTCCGCGACGGCGGATGCAGGATGAAATTTATGTTTGAAGAAATAGTCATGGTTGGATGTGTGCTGAGATACTGCCAGGGCTCCCATACCTAGACAGGAGGACGATTAGGGTCCTCATCCAAAGCCTTTGGCTCAAAAGCCTGTCCTTAAGGTAGCGGGGAGGTGACAATGATTTAGTTTTACAGAAATGGACGTCATCCCATTTCAAACCCCCACCTGGAGGGCCAGGAGACTGAGTTTGTCTGACCTCTCACCATTGACCAACCTGGTAGGAGTAGGTCTCAAGGTGCCCGGAGGCACCACCCAGTTTAGCTCAATGGGTAAAGGAGGTACGCAAACCGTCGTACCACGTTGTGGTAAAGTCTCGTTGCGACGGATCTACATGAAGACCATTCCACCAGATCTTCCAACCGACGTTGAAGTGATGAGTAATCCTGGTTAGTGGGGGCCATCCATCCCAGCACAATATCATCAGCATATTTACACCCTATAAACGTGGTTTGTATAATGTGATGTTCAACATACAAGGAAAATAGAAGGGTGATAGGATCGCTCCCTGTAGAATACCACAGTCGGCACGGAGGACAGAGGATTTCTGTCCGTTCAACTTGGTGGAGTACGATGCGTAAAATAGTCACGTAGCAGATTACATACACCCATCCATCCATTTTCGGATGACACGTTTAGCAACATTGACCTATCCAGGCTACCAAAGGCATTCGAATAATCCAGGAAGAGAAGCCGTACGGAATTACATTTTTACTCCAATGTAGAGGCTATAGAATGAACAAGATATGCCACTGCATTCAATGTGGAGCGCTAAGGTCTATACGTAAACTGGTAGATATCATCTACAGAAACGGCTGAACAAATCCGCGGAATCACCAGCCTTCTGAAAACTTTTAGAAGCACAGAGGTACATGCAATTGGGCGATATCTTTGTGACCCATTTTTTGGTACTGGAGTTGTACTGGCCGTTCTCCAAATGTCCGGAATCATAGCCGTAGTGAGGCATTTGTTAAAGAGATCTGTTAAAGGCAGTGTAAAAATATCAGCACATGTCTCCAAAGCTAATGGTGAGAGAGCATCCGGATCACAATCTTTGTTTGCCTTTAATGTTTTGGGTTCCGTGTGAAGGTTGCTTTGATCGAAGGGCACCGCTGGACGTGACCTAATGAAGGAGGGCAAGGAACGTGAGCCTAATGAGGCGGAACTAAACGCAGGATTCAATGGACCCACCTCCACTTCACTACTCTGGCTGCAAACGCTCTAACCACAGAGCTGCCTCAGGAGCCTCCATAGATCGCGACAGTTATGGCTACCTAGAACTGCTTCGACCTACAAGTGGCTTAGCCTTTTTATTTCAGGTCTAATTGCCGTACTTAGTTTTTTGACACGAGTAACATTCTTGCACTTGTAAGCCCATTCTTTCATTCTTCGAAGGCGCTTTAGTATTGGTGATGAAAATCTATATGCCCTTAACTAGATCGTTTCAACAGAGCAACACATGTCAAAGCAATATTTAATGTAGTCTGTAAGATGATCACATTGAAGCGACGAGTCCTCGTCGTCGAAGACCGAAAAGTCAGTTAAAGAAAACATCGTCTGGAACCTCATGACATTTTCCAAGGAGCAATTTCGCCCTTTTGGCAAGGACGTCTAGTCAGCATTAAGATGTTAGACCTGCTGTATATAAATGGAGACGGTTTCAAAATACAGTGGTCTGAGCTGCTCAAAGGAGCCAGTTATTGTGTAGAAAACAACTATCGTTTATTTGTGTACACAGGGTCCAACTGGAAATCTTGTCTGATCGAAACAGTCACTAGGTCTACCAAACCAAGTGTCATCAAGAATGTTGTATCCTTTCTACTGAATTCGCCAGCAACAATACAGATAGAACAATCCTATTTTAAGCAGTAGCGTTGAATAAACTTGGTCCTCGAAAAGTTTTCATTCTAACGGAGATGTGTCAAGAGCAATGTATACGTTTCCAAAGCCACTTAGGAACTTCTGTTTGCACTCAACTAAATGGTAGTTTATCGAAATTGTTGAGTACGTAAATATTATGATTGTTGCGTTGCATCGACTTTGATTAACGTAAGTTGCGACACGACCGCTGCGAAACTGGGGCTTCCCGGGGCGGTCAGACCTGACGAGAAAATAAACATCGAATTGAATTGCCTCATTTTGCCCATCAGTATGTAACCAGCTTTCTTGTAGTCGAATGATTCCTGTGTTATCATACTCATTTCGCTGCATAATGGCACTGAGATTACCGATTTTACCAAGAAGCGTGCGAATATTACTAGAAAGTATCAGTTGGAATTGCGCTTTGCTGACGGAACATTGACTGAGGCCAGATTGCCAGGCAGCACGATGCTTTAGCTTTTTTCCAAGACATTTATTCCTAATTCGTTTGAAGGTGTTTTTGACTTCATGACCGTATCCGATGAAGCACGGATTTAAGGTAGTAACGCGTAACGTTTTCATATGGTTGACGGAGTAGAACAACATTAGCCTTAAGACTTGATCAAAAAATTCAAATTGCTTCGGTTACAAATAGAATATAGGAGCTGCAGTTGGTAGTGTAAAATAATCTTCAAACGAGAAGAGCAACGGCGAATTTGAAAGCCCCTGATTGTGCAATACTTGTGATTTGTACATGTCTGCATTCTTTATGTTTACTTAGGTTCTCCATTGGTCAAATCCTCCTCCCTTGGTTTACTTCCTAATTGATATTCTATCATTGCGAAGTGTTAGTAGAAGATGTTTGTTTTCTATTGTTGATGTTTCCTTTAGTTTTGCGCGATAGTTAAGCGGCGCTTTTAACTATTAGACACAGATTTCAATAGTCAGTAATATTGTATAGATCAGCCGAACGGCATACACCTTTTGTGATTAGTTAGCCATGTGATGCTGACAGTCGTCAGCTTTCATCACTCTACCGCTTCATCGACTATAAAAGATAATGTAATATCTCAACTGTACCCCGAAAACGGCTCTTCGCTAACCCGTGACCACCACCAATCGCGCGCAGACTCAGTACACCGCGAAGACATGTTCTCGTACGCGGATTTGAACTTATGGTTGCGATGCAGGTGCGCAGACCACTCGGCCATCGGCCGATCTTCTACAAGTATAATCCTTGTTTTATGTGCTACGTAGTTTTAGTGTATTGTTTGAGCTCGCTACCACATGCATGACTCCATCCTCATATTTTTTGCACGTTTGATGGAGCAGTTGCTCTTTAAGCGTCAGCAGTACGCTGTCGATTCGCTACTACGCGACCCTCAGTAGTTGCGCGTGGGCTGAGGGATAGGGTGTGGTCGCCCGCACCTTCGCTGCTCCGATGTTTGGTGACCTTTGAGTTACTAGGCATGCAACCATTCCTTTCGGCCCCGTGGTCGATTACTTTGCCATCGAATTCCTTGACTCCACTCTTTTCCGTGTGCTCAGTATATCCACTGACTATCTGTTCTCCTTTCCAGAGAACCACCTTCGGTGTGAAGTCTAAGAAGAAGTCAGGTGCAGTCTAACTTCTTCATACTTGTACAGAATCGGGGATTGATGTAATTATTCACTTTTTGGATGTCAGTTGATCGCACACACCATAAATGTGTATACCAATGTCTGTGTTATTCCTACCTTTCTATATCATTGGAACTCTTTTTGCCTAGGATGTTTTCTCGCAGTTGCTTTTGTGTAGACTGACAACTTGCGTCAAGATACCAGTCTCTATTTTACACGTGTGACGTCTGCTTATAGTCATATCTTTCGGCTATGCTTTACACCTTCGAAATGCAAAGTCCTCCAAGATTGGGAGCGACCCACTCCTGCGCTGACCGTTGGCGGGGATCAGCTATAAGTCGTCCAGAAATTCAAGTATCTTGGCAGCTATGTTAGGACGCGTGAAATACCTGAAGTCACGAGCCGTTTGCTTGGCTACACTAATCGACATGACGAAGACCTTGCCCCAATGGCGTTTGTGTTGTTTGCTTCCTTGTCCATCGCCCTCTAACCACGTCCTCTTTCATGATTTTTAATATGACATATATAATGATTTGAAAAGCACGGAAAGAAGACGAAGGCTGGTAGATGCATGCATTTCGTATTGTTTCCTCAGTACCATTAACAATAACCGATATGCATAGATATAGCTAACAGTGGGTGCAACCAGACAAGCTTGAGGTGCAGAACGAATGACGGAAGTTCACACCTACATCCAAGGCAACTTTAGACTGACAAATAAGTGCAGTCTAAGTCTCGTTGCAACATATCGTGATCTTCATGACAGTCGATTGCCCTCCATATCTTGATATCCATCGAAAAGCAGAAATTTGACTTGATGACACTCGCAAGCTCATTAATGAAAAATAAGAATAACCGCGGCCCCAACACCGACCCTTGTGGAACACCGCAGTCCACATCAGTTGGATCAGCAAATGAACCTCGAACTCGAACCTGAAGGCGTCACTGAAAGAGGAAGTTTCCTATCCATCCAAGGACAGGGTTTCCAACTCCGTATGCTTGCATCTTTTGGAAAAGGATGCGGTGATTTATACGGTCTAATACTTTGGAAAAGTCTAGGTAGATGACATCAATGCCGGTCCCACTGTCGGCTATCTGGGTCTAACTGCCACGGGCAAGCAGTAAGTCGGTAATAAATAACCGATGCTGACGGAATCCTTGTTGTCCCGGTGCTATGATATCAGACCTTTCGAAGTCGCCTATTACTGCCTCAGCTATGATCGATTCCATCACCTTAGAGAGCACCGGGAGGAGAGTCACTGGGCGATGGTTGGCTAGCTCTGAACGGCTACCACTTTTGAGAATCGTGGTGATGATGCCTTGCTTTCGCATGCTAGCGACCTGCTGTTCGTCCAGGCATCTTTGGGAAAATCACGTTAATGATTCAGCTATCCTCGTAGTTGCCACCTGCAGTGCTTTCGTGGGAATGTCGTCAAGCCTGGGGGGACTATGTGTGCCCAACGACAGCAGCTTCCTCAACATGGTCGCCGAACTAAACATGACGTGTGTAAATACTAGCGTCTGGGAACTTGGGACAGATATGTTACAAATGCTGGGAGCATGTCGGAACATTGGGGCATATTGTAGCCGTAGAACGTTGGCTGCGTCCTCGGCGGTTTGAGCACATCCATCCGCTGATATTAGTGGGGGTACACCATGTTTCACATTCCGGAGGCTGATGACATGTCTGTACAGAATCTTTTTGTTAACGCAAAAATTTTCCGCTGGTGTACTAATTTGTCCTCACGCACAAGTGTGGTACATTGATTACGATGCACAACATAGTTACTCCAGTTGTCAGAGCTAGGGTTCGTTTTATACACATGCCAGCAGCGTCTCTTACTGTCATGTGTTTTAGGGTTCTACTCCGAATGAATGATTGTGCCCTTGCAGAACGAAGGAGCTTGTTGACCGATGCAGATTTAATCATATCACTGAACTTACCAGTAAAATCCAACAAAGCGCTGTCAATTAAACAGTCAGCCGGAAACTCCCACCTGGCATCCACAAGTTCTGCCAGTATGTCCTAGTGGGTGATTGTCCGAAACAAGTTAGTATGTTCTTGTGGATACTCTGCATAACACACGAAGTCGTAAATTATGGTTACGTGGTCGCTTCGCCCAGAGGGCTCTCTAGCCTTGGTTTCTCAACCATGAGCTCTTCGTTTGTGAGCACTAAATCAAGCACAGATGGTTTATTTCCGGCTCTGAATCGGTTGGGTGAACTGACGTGGCTGAAGAGCGGAATGCTTGCAATATACTCTTGCAGGTCGGCCTTAAACTGCGCCTTGGGGGATGCCGGAACTTCAGGATCATGAAGATTGAAATCACCTGAGATGATAACATGACTATATCGTCCTCGTAGGACCCTTCCCAAGAATAATGCCAATCGGGAGTCCATCTCTTGGGTGGACATTGGGGGACGGTAAACAACGGCCAAAAGACAAGTGTCGTTGCGTCTTAGTCGCAGACTGCACCAGAGTGAGTCTAGGATCAGCGTTTCCGGATCGGCCACCGGTTCGCACTGCAGGTCGTTGCGGTAGTATAACATTACCTTCCACCTTTGCTAGGTCGTTCGTTTCGGAGAAGGAACATACCATTTATCGCGACTTCGGCATCAGTAATTTCTGAGTGCAACCAGGTTTCCGTCATGAGTATGAGGTCCCAGGCATGTGACGCTTGACGTAACCGCAATTCGGCAAGCTTGTTCAGGAGACGTTGTGCATTGGTGTACATGCAGAAAAGTTTCTCTGTTTCTAGCAATGAATCATGGGATGGTTGTTTTGGATAAAAGGATGTGCCGACCGGTAAAAGGTCGGCAACTAATCGTATTTTGGGTGGGGGAAGAACCAACTCATCTTTGTCCGATTCATGGATCCTACCATTACCTCTGTTCTTCTCTCTTTGTATGCAATGAATGGGGGGTGTGCCAATTTCGTTGGTTAGTTGATTGAATTTATCCGAACTGTTGTCGGTAAGTGGTCTGACTAAGTGGCTGCTCTCGTGTGTTTGCTTAGCAGGTGCTGCTTTGATCCGGAGCTCGGAAGGCTGCTGCGGCCCGCGCACCATCCCTCTATTGCCATTGCTGACATTTGTCTAGATTGAAGGACCACTTTCACAATCCTCGGGCCACATCCCTTGTAGTTTGGCGATCGGCGCAGCCTCGAGATTGATTGCGCTATGACATTTTCTAGAGACAGGGTATCGCTAATATACCGCCATTGCTCCTGATCGTGAGTGACCGCTTCGCGCCCATCATGACTTCCAGCCTCGGGAACACGATGTACAAGGATGGTCCTAGCTGCGAATTCCTTCCGGTTTTCGTCCAAGTAATGCTTCGCATGTCTGCGTTCGCTCCACGGAATATCCGGGAATAGGCAGATGGAACATGACCCATTTCGGAGGCGAGCTGTCGATAACAGGACAGCATCTGCTTCATTGGCAGAAGTTAACACAATTCGGAGAAGTCTTGTTTCACCGTAGTGCTGTGAGTTTGGGTGACGGATTACACGTGTCAAATTTACGGGCTTAGTTACAACACATAGTGTCACAGTTGGAGTTCCACTGGTTCACGTCATCAAGCTTTCTTTTTAAGCAATTGGACGTCGTTTCTGGAACGTTGGTGCGGATTACTGCTGGTATAATACGTGCAACTCTGGTTGCGGTCAAGCGACCAGCTTGTCTGCATACATTCGATGGAGACTGTTTAGGTACGGCTTCATCTTCTTCATTTACTACGGGTCCAATGGAAGTGGCCGGAGATTTAGGTTTCCGGTCACGTTTGGCAGCAACCAAGTTCCAATCACCACTGGTACCGATGCCCTTCTGAATTTTCGGGACCGTTTGGAGGGTGGACGAGGCCCCGACCGTGCTCATTGTAATCGGACTGGCGGTGGTTGTTTCAGGCATATTTGAGCAACTGGTGGCATTGGCGTTTAATGCCACAGATGATGCATTTTTAACGCGTTGCCTAGCCTTCTTCCTCAGTTTTAATACGGTGCGGGATGGGAATGACTGATTTACTCTCTGTCACGCTTTCTACACATGAATTGCTTTTGGTGCTCCTCATTTGTTCAAACATTGCCACCAGTCTTTCGTACTTCTGCTATAGTTCATGTATAGTCTTTACCAGTGGGATGACTATAGATACTGAACAGAGCCACAGTGAATCTGGTTTATTATTGTGTAGCTTCAACTGGTTCACTGTGAGCTCGAACCATTTTCGATGCAACTTGCCTTGGCAACTGCTGCACTGGATTCCGATCCGTACACTTTTGTGGCATGAAGGAAGGCCACAAATTACTGTCGATCTGAATGCAGTAACATGGGCTTTTGATTGGTCGCCACAATCCATTGCATCGATCGATGGTATTCTCAGAGAAGCCCGAACGCTTTTGATTTCCTGACGGTCGCGTGTGTGCTGAATTGTCAGCATGTTCAAGATCGTCACGTTCTGTGCGTCTGGCCCAGGTTGTACAGGTTTAAGCGGCTTGATCATCCACGCAGCTAACAGAGCGGTTGAGCGATACGGACACAACGTGTACGGTAACTACTTTGATGAACGGTCCACAACTGTAGTTACTGATTCGTCGAATGAAACGTGTAGTTAGCTTTCGTTTGAGCTCACCAATATTTCTGTGTGGTTCGTTATTCGGAAAATTTCTCGATTGTGTTTTTGCGGGAATGGCGCAAAAAACGCAAGGTGGAGCTAAAGGACGATCCACACAAGCTTGATCCGAAAGATAGAGTGCACTAGATAGTGCAGATGAATCTGGGTCGAATGAGTGTGAAAAAGAGTACGGTACACATGTGTCACTTGAATAAATGGTACCGCATCTGCAAGCAACACGCATATTTCCACAGAATACCATCTAAGAATCGCATCCTGTTGACAAGACAGTGTCGAAGGTTAGTTTTCCAACTATCACGGCATTTCTGAAAAGTTTCCTGGATAATTCGGTCGATTTTACAGCTAAAGCCAACAAACCACAAAGTATGTACAGTATCTCGGGGTCAGTTCGGATACCCTCAGCAGAAGAAGGCAACATTAGGGACCTTAGTGATAGTGTAACCAGACTGACGGGAATACAGTAGACTCTCCGAAGTTGATCAGCTATATGTATATATCCTGACCATCTCTCTTAGGTCATTGATTTTTTCTTAACTTAAACGTTCATCATGTCGACCTTATAGATCCA